TTCGTAATCGATACTAAATGAATTAAAATTACTTTAATTCCTAATGCATTTTTTATATGATGTACATAATTTAAAAAAGCTTTACACAAATTCTAAATCGCATAAATGACCTTCAGATCGAAGTAAGATATGAAAACTTGGCGTGATGGAAATCTTGCGAAATTTGCAGATATAACACAAAATGGTACAATATACCAATAGCGACAAAAGGATTAACTTACGCGCTTTGATTCTGATAAAATATGTATAGTTGTCGTAATTAACGAACATTCAGGAAATTTTCAACAATAAAAACCTAAATATTCTCTTGATGAAAGAAGAAGCATTATTCTTCAAAGCAATCAGCATTAAACGACTGTACCATTTCGACTCATATATATAATGTGACTTTTTCTATATATGAGTAAAATTTTCATGTCTCTTTTATATGAGTCAAATATACTACGACAATAATTTCAATCCAAATAGTCCTTTGGATTATGTCTCTTATACAATTTACAAACTTTTTACATAATTTACAAACATAATTTTGCAATTTGAAGAATTAGTCTTGATTAGTCTATATCGATCTTGTGGCACAAATATGTTGACATGCGTTTTGCGTGATGTACGGCAATTACAATTTAAGCGGAATTCTTGATACAGACTACCCATTGATTGTCTGCGACAATTGAAGTTAAACAGAATTCTTGATGAGATATTTGCAATCTATGCGTCATTCTTGCAATAGCAGCGATAGATAGAAGACAGTATGAATAATATCGACCAATTTGACCAATTCTTTAAAAATTCGCATTACGACGTTATTCGCCTGATACTAAGTATTAGCGGTCTATGGCCTTTCCATATGTTAAGAAGACGCTACGTGATATACCTCGCAATGATACTCGTACTCGGATCTGGATTTACATTTGAGGTAAACTAAAGACAAATGTTTTGTCACATTTTCAAGTTTTGTACATTTTTTAATTTTTGCTTATGTCTACTGTCTATCAAAAATTATTGAATTTAAATATTATAGTAATAATTATGCTAATTAACGAAATTTATACTGGAATATATGTATGTAATAATGTAGATAGATTTATATATCAATTTTATATTCTATTTTAAATATACTTGACAACATAATTTACAATCGGACAATTCAGTTAACATTATATGTTATTATAATGTGTTATATATGATTATTATACGTTTGCTTGATATAAATCACGTGAGAAATGTAGATATTGGGATTAATAAGTATTTGGCATGATACTTTTGAACTAATCGATGCTCTGCCAATATTATTTCTCGGTATAGTGACCATAATTAAAATGATTTATGCAGTATATACGTTACCAAAAGTGGGTAAACAAAAGTCATAAATGCTAATAATAAAAGTACGGACGATAACATACATGATTTTTTATCATAAATTTTCCTTATATAGATAAAACTGCTTCTAATAAATATGCAAAAATATTGTCTTTCTTCAAAGTTGGATGAAGAGACTAAAATATATAATTCACATGGGTTATATGGACGAAAATTCGGATACATTTATATAAGTGAGTTTAATAATGCAGTGTATTATGTGCATAATAATAAGGTGCAGAAAAAACAATAAAAATTTAAATGGATTTTTAAATAGATTTAAATAAATTTTTATATAAATTGTCTTCTAAATAATTTTAAACGACTGAACTTATATAAAAATCTATTTAAATATTTATTTAAATATTTTTTTATTTAATTTTTTTTATTTATTTATTTAATTTTTATATTTAAATATTTTTTTTTTCTGTACTTATACACATATACATACATACATACATATATAATTTATAATAATTATTGAAACATATATAATTTATAATAATAATCGATATTTTTGAAAAAGCATTTCACTTTTTATAATAATAATATATTTATTCGATAAAAAACATAAAAAATTGACGTTTTTATATAAATTAGCTTTGTTAGTCGGTCACCCCATCGTGTTCCAATCTATAACATTATTGACCAAGCTTATCAATACAAAATCCAAAGAGAAGGATACGTCGTCAAATACTACGCAAGGAATCCAAACGGGACTATCTTATCCCGTAAATTATATGATCGATGTAGACACATATTATGTTCCAATTTTCATACATACGGCTATATGCGAAATATCTTATGTGTTCCTAATAGCTGCATTCGATATCCTGTATGTAACATTGATTGAATACTGTTGTGGATTATTCGAAAGCTTGAGGTAAATATATAATGAATCTTGTCGTATATAATGAATCTTGCTCTAAACTAAACCAAACGAAATTTTGTTTCAATTTTGTTCATACATTTTTTGAACACTTGGACAATATTAAATTTCAGATATAGATTAGAAAATGCATTCGATTACAAAAACAATAATGGTGATATAATATTAACACAGAATACGTCTTATTCAAATATCGTATACTGTATTCGAAGACACACCGAAACGATGCAGTGAGTATATTTAAATGGGTATTGACATTTCTATCATATAATAATAATCTCAATGCATAAATAATATCTTCATGCATTAGATTTATTGCTATTATGGAATCAATGTACAACATACCTTTCTTTGTACACGTGGGGTTTCTTTTAATATGTTTAAGCATTGTAGGATTTCAGGTATATACGTTTGATGAAATTTCTATGGCACGTTTTACATATAATTACATGATGCACAAAAATTATTTAATATAAATTATAGAATATAATTAATTTAAAATTGAATATATGATATTATCATATATATGTTATTCATATTATGCTACCATTTTTTAGATGATAACAAACACGGAAAATATAAATAATTTTATAAAACATTACAGTTATATGAATGCATTATTAATCAATATATTTTTTGAAAATTTGCAAGGTCAAAAAATCATAGATTCCAGCGAAAAAATATTTGAATCCGTGTACGTTTTATACAACTATCTAATAGCATTTTATAATATTTTTTTATAAAATCGCGCCTCAGACTGCAATAAAAGAATAATAGTACGATCGTGAAATAAATACATGGAATTATAAATAAATACACGAAATAAATCACGGAAATGTTGCGAAATTTGCAGATATAACACAAAATGGTACAATATGCCAATAACGACACAAAAGCTTCTTATAATGATAATGTTGACAAGTAAAAAACCATTGAAACTCACTATTGGTAAACTCTTTGCATTATCATACATAACTTTTAACGCAGTAAGTATAATTATTTCATGCAAATACGTGCTTTATAAAAATAAAAAAAATTGTTTAAGGTAATACGCGCATCATCATCATACTTTATGCTATTGCGCTCTCTACAATAAACATTTTGAATACAATTCATATTTATATTAATACTTTAATAACTGAGGAGATATTACAGTTTATGTAAATAATTTAATAAAATCCTGAAACAATTGTTATATAATTTTTCCAATAAAAAAATTTTTTTTTAACAAGAAACTAATTTAACTTTTTGAAAATTGTTCTACAAACATTTATTGATATGAACAATTTTTCATAATTACTATTACTATTTATCAGTAGTTTTCTTTATAAGTTATAAAATTTTAATAAATAATATGATTATTTAGTAATTTATAATGAACTTATATTAATCACATGTAGAAGATGTAATACTTGAATAATTGAGATTGCATGCAATAGACTCGAAAACTTTTATTAATAAAATAATAAAATAATAATAAAAACAGTAATAAAATAAACTAATTGAAATACTTTTCACTTTTATCAGAAGATGTCATTTCTTTCAAAGCAAAAGAAAAATTAAAACCTACTAAAAGAAATTTGTACAATAATATTTTCTATAATTTTCAAATCATACGATTCTCTTTCGATAGAGTTTATTGAAAATTTACTTGCAACAGTACCAAGATATAGAAATGTAACGGTACGGCCTATCCCGTTCGCCACGGACTGGCTCGCCGGTGCCAAGGTTCGGGAGTAGATAGGAGAGTCAAGCTTACGAGTCCTCTTTCAATAATCAATTTATTGGTAAATATCTTATGCTATGCCTTATCCTACGCGGTGATTATAACTACCTTTTATTACGCGGGCTTAGCCTACGACGGTGCGCTAGTACTTATACTTCTAACTTAACCTACGGACGCTTACGGTTAACTTAGCCTAGACGGTCGGTCGCGGTTTCGGTCGGCGAGCGTGTCGCGGTTGCGGAGTGCGGCGGTGCGCGGAGGCCGAGTGCCGGGCAAACCCAGGCTGCGGAGAGGTCAGACCCGTCTCCGTCGGCGTGCACGGTCAGGAAGCCGAGTGCCGGGCAAACCCAGGCTGCGGAGAGGTCAGACCCGTCTCCGTCGGCGTGCGCGGTCAGGAAGCCGAGTGCCGGGCAAACCCAGGCGGCGGAGAGGTCAAACCCGTCTCCGTCGGCGTGCACGGTCAGGAAGCCGAATGCCGGGCAAACCCAGGCGGCGGAGAGGTCACACCCGTCTCCGTCGGCAGGAACGGTCAGGAAGCCGAATGCCGGGCAAACCCAGGCGGCGGAGAGGTCATACCCGTCTCCGTCGGCAGGAACGGTCAGGGAGCCGAATGCCGAGCAAACCCAGGCGGCGGAGAGGTCACACCCGTCTCCGTCGGCAGGAACGGTCAGGATTCAAGAAGTCTCGGTTATTCCCTGAGATTCAGAACTGGTCGGAAGTTGGAAAGGAATAAGGTATCGGTCTGTTGCGCGAGCCGGCTTTTATACGGCTCGAGGGCCCCCCACGCTCGCGTGCGTCACGGCGGGAGTAGGACTTGGTGGGGAAACATAGACGGGATCGCAGGTGGGCGCCAGAGGCGTCGAGTAAGGAATTTACTCGAGAAATTACTGTAGTCAACTCTTTATTTTATAAACCCATAAGAACAATTTAAAGAACCATGAACGAATGAATATGAACGAATTAACACTACTATTTACAATATTATTTACAGGGACGATGCGAGAGCATCGTCACACCACCCCGCGCTCAGGGGGGTCCGTCGAGGCGTCGTGCTGCTCGGGGGCGGCCGTCTGGGTGGAACCTGATCACCCATCGGCCCGACGCGGTGCGGACCTTATACCTCCGCCCGATGATGGCCGATCCGGCGGGGACCTCGACCACGCCCAAGCGGACGGGAATGGTCCCGGCGATAGGTGGCCTGGCGGTCTGCGGTCGGATGGCGGGTGGTCCGACGGGCGTGGATGGCCCGGTGGTTGCAGGCCGGGCGATAGGCGGTCCGACGGTCGTAGGTCGAGCAGTCGCGGGGTCGGCGGTCATGGGCCGGGTAGTCGGTGGACCGGTGTTCGCAGGCCGGGCGGTAGGTGGTCCGACGATCGCAGGCCGGGTTGTATACGGCCCGGTGTTCGTTGGCCGGGTCCTAGGAGCTCCGGTGGAGGTGTGCGGTCCGGTGGTCGGTGGCCTGGCTGTCGAGGCCTTGCCGGTCCTGGCAGCTGGCGGACGGCTGTTAGCCGACCGGGGGTCGGCCAGGGCGGCGATTCTTCCGCGGCGGCGCGGCTTAATTTCCGGCGGCGTCGTCAGGATGATCGCCTTCCGCCGGTTTGCCTGGTCGGATCGCTGGACGGATGTCCCGGGCCGCGGCGGTCGTCGGGATCGTCCCGGGCTCGGGGTCGCTGGCGGCGGCTTGGCAGGCGTTGGCGGCGTCGTGGTCGGCGCGGTAGTAGGCCCGCTTACTTCGGACTCCGAGCTCGAGCTTATGGCTCCGAAGAGTTCGTCCATCTCGTGCCGGTCCATAGCGACTGTTAATCCGCTCGCGGTTGCCCGGCCTTATATACCCGCTACACTGCTCCTGGAGGGGATTTGTTCGCGGAATTTCCGATGGCTCGGGGTGTCCCGTGGTTCCAGTGGAAGTAGCGGAGTCCGGTCGCAGGTCGGGTAGTCGCGGTGCCGGCGGTCGTAGGCCGGGCAGTATGTGATCCGGCGTTCGTAGGCCGGGCAGTAGCTGGACCGGTGGTCGTAGGTCGGGCAGTAGCTGGACCGGCGGTCGTAGGTCGGGCAGTAGCTGGACCGGCGGTCGTAGGTCGGACAGTAGCTGGACCGGCGGTCGTAGGTCGGGCACTAGGCGGCCCGCCATCCGTAGGTCGGGCAGTAGAGGGTCCGGCGGCCGCAGGTCGGGCAGTAGGTGGCCCGTGGTTCTAAGGGAAATTCCCTAGCAACGGAGTTCGTCCGAACGCTCCAAGGTGGCGGTACTTCGGCGTGGTCGGTAGCTTTTTGCCGGATTATGCGTTATCCTCGTCCACCCGAGGACTTTCTGGTATGTTCGGTTGCGGTTTCAGGTCCTGTACGTGGATATGCCGATGCCATTTCCCGTGTTCGTCGCGTAGGTCCACGATGACTGGGGATATTATCCTGCGTACTTCCATGGGCCCCGAAAATCGAGGGGCGAGTTTGGCGTTAAACGCGTCATCGCGGCTGGACAGGGGGCGTTCTCGCTTCCAAACCTTGTCGCCCACCGGGGGGCGCCAGTCGCGTCGCCTCATGTTATAATGGCGCTCCTGTTTTTGAAAGGCTCGGGCTAGGTGCACCCTGGCGACCTCATAGGCCTCTTCCAGGCGTTGTCGATGCGACTCCGGGGAAGTCGAGTTCGGCGTTGGTTGTCGCTCGGCAGGATGGGGAGGTGCCAGTTCGCGGCCGTGGAGCAGAAAGGCTGGGGTGTATCCGGTGGCCTCGTGTCGAGCGGTGTTCACCGCGAACTGCAACGCGTCGATGTGCTCGTCCCAATCCCGGTCGCCCACGTATTGACTCATGGTCTTGATGGTCCGATTCACCCTCTCCACCGGGTTGCAATGCGGCGCGTAGACAGGTGACGTGCGGTGCTGGATCCCGAACGATGCCAGCAAGGTACGGAACTGGCGGGAGGTGAACTGAGTCCCGTTGTCCGAGATGAGTTGGCCCGGGCATCCATGCCGGTAAATGATGCGGCGGGTCACTTCTTTCGCCAGTGCCGTGGCGGTGGCGCGTCGCAGGGGAACCATCTCGACCCATTTGCTGAACCGGTCCTGGGCGGTCAGGAGCCAGACATGTCCACGGACCGAGCGTGGCAGAGGACCGACTAGATCCACTGAGACTTGCTGCCACGGGGCGGTTACTGGGGTAGCGTGTAGATTCCCGGCTGGTCGTTGTTGCGGCACTTTGTGGGCTAGGCAGCTCGGACAGCTCCGAACGTACCGGGCTGTCTCCCGGAACATCCCCGGCCAGTGGTACAACCGGGCGAGTCGGGCGATGGTCTTAGCTACTCCTAGATGCCCTGCGGTTGGGTCGTCGTGTAGCCGGCGCAGGATGTCGAGCCGCTGTTCCCGAGGGACGCATTGTTTCCATTGCTCGGTGGAGGGTACCTCGCTAAAATCCAGGTCGTGTAGCACATGTCGAAACAGTTGGCCGTCACGTATCTCGTAATCGGGGTACTCGTCTGGTCGGCTCTTTACCTCCCGGAGGAGGCGTTGGTACCATGGGCACGCTATCCGGTGTTGCATTGCGTTGAGCTGCGGCTCCCGGGAGAGGGCATCGGCTACTTGATTTTGTCCTCCTCTTCTATAGTGTATGGTGAAGTCGAACTGTTGCAGTTCGAAGAGCCACCGCCCCAGGCGTCCGGATGGATTTTCCAGACGTTGCAGCCACTTGAGGGACTGGTGGTCTGTTACGACGGTGAATCGATACCCCTCCAAGTAGTCTCGCATTCGCCGGATTCCCCATACCACGGCGAGACATTCCAACTCGGTCGCACTGTAGTTCCGCTCGGCACCGTTGAGCGTTCGGCTGGCGTATGCGATTACTCGCTCTCCCTCCGTCTGGTGCTGCGTTAGCACGGCTCCTAGCCCATGCGAATTGGCATCGGTTTGTAGCAGGAACGGCTTCTGAAAGTCCGGGCAGGCCAGAACCGGTGTGGAGGTCAATGCTGCCTTCAGTTGTTGAAAGGCTGCGTCCTCGGGGGTCCCCCATATCCAGCCAGCTCGTTTTTTGGTCAGTGCGGTAAGCGGCGCCGCTAGTGTCGAAAAATTCGGGATAAACTTCCGATACCACGAGGCCATTCCTAAAAATTGCCGGACCTTACGCACGGTGGTGGGAATTGGCCACCCGGTGATGGCGCTCACTTTGTCTGGGTCCGTGTGTATCCCTTGTCGATTAATCACATGTCCTAGGTAGCGGAGGCTCGGACGGCAGAAGTGGCACTTATCCGGGTTTAAGCGTAGCTTTGCTTCACGTAGTCGCCGGAATACCTCTCTCAAGTGTTGCAGGTGTTCGCTGAACGTCTTGCTGGCGATTATTATATCGTCCAAGTATACAAAAACGTTAGGTTCGAGGTCGGGGCCGATCACGGTATCTAGCAACCGCTGGAAGGTCGCCGGGGCCGAGTGCAACCCGAAAGGCATGACCGTAAATTGGTACAAACCCTTCCCTGGTACGGTGAAGGCGGTTGCAGGTCGACTCCCTTGGTTCAGTGGTATCTGCCAGTAACCACTCTTGAGATCTAATGTGGTCAGGTATTTCGCCCCGCGTAACTTGTCGAGCGTAGCCGTGATGTGCGGCAAGGGATAGGCGTCTTTATCTGACATTGCATTTAGCCTGCGGAAATCGATGCAGAATCTATACTGCCCATCTTTCTTTCGAACTATGACTACTGGTGAGCTCCAAGCGCTGCTCGAGGACTCGATGACGCCTTCGGCGAGCATTCGGTCAACTTCCTCATTGATGACGGCCTGCATGGCCGGTTTCGCGGTCGGTACCGCTGTTTGATGGACGGTCCCGGTTTTAGCCGGATGCGATGTTCGGCTCGGTCGGTTCGTCCCGTGATTACTTCAAACAATGGTAACTCGGCGGCTAGAAAGTCCCGGAGTTGCGCTTCTTCGTTTGCTTCGTTGTTTGGTCCGACGGTGATCGTGTTGGTCCGGGAAACCGTCCCGGTCTGGTTTAACGGTGGTGGCGACAAAGTGAATCCCATCTTCGCCCATAGGTCGGTACCAATCAGCACAGCGCTAGCTAGCCCAGGGAGTATGCAGAAGTCGTGCCAATAGGTTCTCCCATGCCATCGGAGAGGCAGGCGCAATACCCCAGTGACCCCTACCCGCGTGTTATCGGCCAGGAGGACGTAGTCTCCTCGGTTCTGGGCTAGTCGGGGTATTCCGGGGAATAGTCGTGCAGTTTCTTCCTGTATGCACGAGACTTCAGATCCAGGGTCTATGAGAGCCGCGAACGGTTGTCGCCGGATGTGCACTTGGAGGTGCGGGCGCGGACGGTATTCTATTCGAGGCTGGGCTGGGAGACGGCCGCTACGTCCCCGGCCCGTTGGGCGTTTCCCGTCAGCGGGTGGCAGTCGCGAGTCAGGACACCATCCTTGCCGCATCGCGAGCAGAATTTTCTTGGTGGCCGCTTACAATCCACTCGAGTGTGGCCTCGCTGCTTACATCTCCAGCAGCATTCCTCCCGGTTGTAGGTGACGGCGGCGACTAATGGTTTGGTGGTTGCTGGAGTTCGATCCTGTCGACGGTGGTTGATTTCCTCAATCTTAGATATCCGGGTCCGGAGTTCGCTCATGGTTAGCTGATCGGTGAGCGGAACATAGAGTTGGTGCTCGGGATTCATGTTTTCGTAGATTTGCTCCAGCTGTTCTCGCTCGGAGTATCCCCCAGCTCGGCGCATCATGGTGAGAAGCGTATTGGAGTATTCGCGAAACGACTCCCCCGGCTTTTGGGAGCGTCCGTTGATTTCTCGTTTTAGTCGCCTCAGGTATCCCGGCGGTAGGTAGTAATCCCGGAACTGTTTGCAGAAACTGGCCCAAGTTCCCCAGGTATCGTGGTGGTTTCGGTACCACAAGAGGGCGTCCCCTTTTAGTAATTCCGGTAGGCCCAAGAGTAAGTGGTCTTCTTCGAGGCCATAGCTGATTCTTAGCTCTTCAACTCTCTCTAGGAATGAGAGCGGATCCACTCCTTCGAAACGGTGGCCCCATTTCCGGATCTGGTTGATGATCTCGATGCGCTCTGTTGGACTCAAGGTGGGCATGGTCGCGGTTTCTCCTGGTACGTCACCGCTAGTGTTCCTCGGGTTATTGGACGGGTGGGCAGCGAAGTACAGGCGCAATCGGCGTCTCAGCAGGTCCACCTGGCCTGTGGTATCCACTTCGTACCGGTGGAGATATTCTACAAGCTGTTCTTTGGAAAGGTTATTAATCCACGCAGTCATGAGGCTTTTCGCTAGCTGGACTCTCCTTAAACGGTCCCTGTTCGGGCGCCATGTAACGGTACGGCCTATCCCGTTCGCCACGGACTGGCTCGACGGTGCCAAGGTTCGGGAGTAGGTAGGAGAGTCAAGCTTACGAGTCCTCTTTCAATAATCAATTTATTGGTAAATATCTTATGCTATGCCTTATCCTACGCGGTGATTATAACTACCTTATATTACGCGGGCTTAGCCTACGACGGTGCGCTAGTACTTATACTTCTAACTTAACCTACGGACGCTTACGGTTAACTTAGCCTACACGGTCGGTCGCGGTTTCGGTCGGCGAGCGTGTCGCGGTTGCGGAGTGCGGCGGTGCGCGGAGGCCGAGTGCCGGGCAAACCCAGGCTGCGGAGAGGTCAGACCCGTCTCCGTCGGCGTGCACGGTCAGGAAGCCGAGTGCCGGGCAAACCCAGGCTGCGGAGAGGTCAGACCCGTCTCCGTCGGCGTGCGCGGTCAGGAAGCCAAATGCCGGGCAAACCCAGGCGGCGGAGAGGTCAAACCCGTCTCCGTCGGCGTGC